CAACTCTCCAGCCCAATAATCTCATTCTTTACATCATCAAAATAGTAATAGCTTGAGACAACATTTGGTATTTCTAGAGAATGTGCACGTCAAATTGTATCAACTTGTCCTCAGTCTCTTCCTGTACCACATAATGGTGTTAATCCTCAAGGACTTGTACCTAATCCGTTATGGCAAATGGATGTTACTCATATTTCTGATTTTGGAAAATTTAAATATGGTCAGGTGACTATTGACACCTTCTCAGGCTTTCTTGTTGCAACTGCTTTAACAGGAGAAACAATTAAAAATATAATTAGTCATTGCCTGTGTTGTTTTTCTATGCTGGGTATTCCAAATCAGAATATGACATAATGGAACTGGCTATTGCAGTCAAGCATTTGAGACTCTCTGTTGACAATTTAACATTACCCATATTACTGGAATTCCTTTTTTGTTTGTTTGGGTGTTTTTTTTGTTTGTTTGTTTTTTGTTTTTTTTTTTTCGAGACAGGGTTTCTCTGTGTAGCCCTGGCTGTCCTGGAACTCACTCGGTAGACCAGGCTGGCCTCGAACTCAGAAATCCGCCTGCCTCTGCCTCCCAAGTGCTGGGATTAAAGGCGTGCGCCACCACCGCCCGGCTACTGGAATTCCTTATGATCCTCAAAGACAAGGTATAGTGGAACAGGCTCATGGAACGTTAAAACAACATCTTCATAAAATAAAAAGGAGAAATTATAGCCCTATACACCACAAAACTATTTAAACCATGTTCTTTTTCTTTTAAATTTTTTAAATTTGGATGTTCATGGATGTTCAGTGTTTTTTGGCATCCTCACATTTCCACTGTGTATGCTTCAGTGAAATGGAAGGATTCTATGACAGGCCAATGGCATGGACCCGACCCTGTACTCATATGTGGATGAAGTCACATTTGTGTTTTTTCACAGGAAGAAAATGGGGCTCGGTGGCTGCCAGAGAGGCTCGTGTGACAAATGAAACAACTCCACCTCCCTGCTGATTCCCTTACTGATGATGATGGTGGCTCCTCACATGGTGAAGTCCACTGGGCCTATATTCCTGACCCACCACTGATACATCCAGCAGTGTGGTCCAGACCAGAGATTCTCGTAACCAGTAATGCTATTCAACTTCTTAGATCTCCTTAGACAAAGGAGTCAACTAATAATAAGACCATGACTTTCAATGCATTTGGTGATGAGATTCCTGTTTGTTTTGGGAAGAATAGTATAAATGATGGTTATATTTTTGTGTTTACACAAACTTGGAACAAAAACATTTCACAAACTGTAACTCAAAGTATAGAGATGGGCATGCCTAAACATTATGAGGGATCTGCCTTTTATCCTCATGAGATATGACCTTGTGAATCTAAACCCACAGAGAATGCAGAATAACCATTTAACAAAGTTGTTAAATGGAGAGAATGTGGGCAGTGGTGGTGCACACCTTTAATCCCAGCACTTGGGAGGCAGAGGCAGGCGGACTTCTGAGTTTGAAGCCAGCCTGCTGTACAGAGTGAGTTCCAGGACAGCCAGGGCTACCCCTGTCTCAAAAAACCAAAAAAAAAAAAAAAAATGGAGAGAATGTTATAATCAATCTCCAAAGTGGTTTAATATTTCCAATAATATGTAAATTATCGATTGGGCAGGGAATCAATCAAACATTGTACAAAAAGAGATATTCATAGGTCTTTGGCAATCAGGTTCTGGACATTTCCAGTGGCATATCTGAAAGTTAGTTGCAGCTCTCTATGAAGTTACATTGGCAATAAGCAAAATTGGGACAGGATCTGGATTTCAAGCAAATATATATGTGTTAAAGACTCCTAATCTTTTATTAATTGGTGGTGTTAAAATTACTTTTGTTTCTTCTATAGTACTTAATGTAAGTTGTGTTGATTGTACACTTTCTAGTTGTGTTTTAACTTTGTTTAATGAGATTATGAATATAAAGACTGCTGCTCTGCTGAGTTTCATTGCTGTGGATATTGCTGATAAAATTACTTGTGGCTTAAGGTCAGTATGTCCATCTTGGTCAAGCTTCAAGAATGGCTTATATAGCTTGATCATGTTGGCCCTTCTGACCTGTCTTAGTCATGGCCTTGTTGGAAGAAGTGTGTCACTGAGGATGTGCTTTGAGGTTTCAAAATCCCAAGCCGAACCCAGCTTTCCCTCCTCTCTCCCTCTCTCTCTCCCTCTCTCTTTTCTGATGCCTGCAGATCTGGATGTTGAACTCTCAGCTCCTTCTTCAGCACCGTGTCTACCTGCATGCCCCCATGCTTCCTGCCATGATGATAATGGGCTAAACCTCTGAAATTGTAAGCCAGCCCTAATTAAATGCTTTATTCTTACTAAGAGTGTGGCCATGATTGTAGTGTCTCTTCATAGCAAGAGAACATTGACTAAGACACTGGTACCATAGAGACAGAGAATCTTTATGGCCATTCCCCATTTCTGACTTTTCTTAGAGCATCTACTTTAGCAAGCTTGCAGCTGGGTATGGTGGCACATGCCCGTAATCCTAGCTCTTAGGAGGTGAGAGCCGGGGGATTAAAGCATGTTTGAAACCAGTCTGGGCTACATGGAGAAAGTTGGGGAGGAGGGGGAGGAGAAGAGAAGAGGGGAATGAAAGGAAAGAAGACAGACAGACTGCAATCACAATTACCTTCTTTACCCTGTAAGGTGTATACAAGTCTTAAGAGCCTTTGAAAAGTCTTTGGCTGACTTTACAACCCAGGAAAAGAGTAAGGAGAAGGCAAGAGATGCTGGGATGAGGGTGTGGGAAGGACTAGGCTGACTTTGAACAGTTGAATTTTGTTTCATCAACCTTCAGACAGTCTGTGTTCTGGCCCCCAACCTTGTGCTGGGCATTTGTTAAAAAGGGTTCAATATGGTAAATATATGTCTTGGAACTCTGAAGCATTTCTCAAGCACTGGAGAGCCATTCCCTAGAATACTGCTATCTAAACGACAGGGCCTCTGCCTCTGAAACACTGAGAGCAGAATCCTGACCACTGTCAGCCAACAACTGAGCTCTTCTCACTGGCTGTAACTATCCCTGTCAGCCAAGTTCTCACTGGCTCTAACCATCCCTCAGGAGTTTTCTTTTTTAATTTCTCTGACTCTTCTAGTCTCTCTGTCTTTAATTATAAGGCATTAAAAAAAATGAACTGCTCATTTGGAACATTTTATGACATATGGGATCCTGTGAGGCTCCCTGAAGCATGACATGATGGGTCTTCCTTAGAGCAGATGTAAGGGTGGCTTGTTCATAAAGTAATATTTGTGTGTGTGTGTGTGTGTGTGTGTGTGTGTTCATTACATAGCTACAGAATAACACACACATACACACACACTTCTTTTTTTTACAAGAAATGCCAAGTGTCCTACATCTTCAGGCTGTCTAGCTCCTGCCCTATATGGACGTAGTGCAGACAAGGGTGACGCTACTTGCCTACTGTGAAGCTGAGTGGCCAGGTGTGAGTACTGTTCACACTCTGCCCTGGGGTCTTGGCTGACACAGGTGAGTGAGCACCAGACCATGCTTGAGCATCCTGCTTCTTCTATAAGACAAGATGCCCCTGTGATGGTTAACACACAGAAACTCATCACATAATTGAGTTTTCACATAAGACAGTATATCTCTAAAAACAGAAATCATATTTGAGAAAGGAACAAAAATCCCCAGAGCATTTATATCTGTACATTTCCTTCTTATCCATCTCCTGTCTTTAAATGTATCCTAAGATTTGCATTGATTTGGATTTGTATCAATGTGAAATAAAAGCATTTTAAAAAGAATCCTTCAGTAGCCCCTAGTTCATTCTCAATGTTGTGCCACCAGCACCTCTACCAAAATACGTCATCAGGGAGGAAACTATGTACCATTAAGTCACTCCTCTCTGAAAGCCAACAATCTCTTTTCTGTCCACAAAGATTTCTTTATTTTATATGGAAAAATAAGTTTCTGTCTTCTTTGAATTGTATGCAAGATATATCCATGTTGTATGCAAGATACATCCTTGTTGTATGCAAGATACATCCATGTTGTGTGTAAGATACATCCATGTTGTATGTAAGATACATCCATGTTGTGTGTAAGATACATCCATGTTTTATGTAAGATACATCCATGTTGTATGTAAGATACATCCATGTTGTATGTAAGATACATCCATGTTGTATGTAAGATACATCCATGTTGTAGCATCTATCAGCACTCATTTCCTTCTGTTGCTGAATAATATTCCACTAGATGTAGATACCTACATATGGGCTTTAAGTACTTACCTCTTAGCTATTTTTAATGTATTGTTTTTAGTTTTTGCTTGTATACAAAGGAGCAGAATTGTCAGGACATGCCACAGCTGTATTTAACTTTTTAAAGCACCATGTTTCTTTAAAATTATTTGCATCTTTTGAATTGATTTCTAGTTTGAACTCAAACAGAGGAAGATGTTTATTTGGGTATAGGTACTTTCTCTGTTCTTTTCCCATGGGATCCCACCTGCTGCTAGGTAGCACACACAGTAATATGTGTGGTCCAGCTCAAGGGAGCTCGCAAGGTAGCTGAGGCACTTGCCAATCCTGAAGAGTCTGGAACATTCTTCATTGAGGCTAAGAACATACTTCTTTCTTATCTTTCTTTTTTTAATTTAACTTTATTTTTTTACATATTTACTTTACATTCCACTCACTGCCCCCCTCCTGGTCACCCCTCCCACAATCCTTCCCCCATCCCCCCCACCCCCGCCAGTGAGAGAGCATATTTCTTTACCAAACAACTAGAGCTCCCCCTTTCACATTCTTCCTTCCCCTTTTCTTTCCTCCTTCTTTTGCTGGGGATTAAACCCAGCCCTCAGATGCTGGATAAGCACTTCACTGTGGGACACAGGTACAACTAAAAATGTACCCAAGCAACAATTTTTAAGTTAACTGAGCAAATCTGGGTCAATACAGGACACTAGAGGTTAAACCATTCCAGAGAGGCTCAGGGAACATGGTCAGATGCCACGTGGGCTTTAGACTAGAGGAAAGGTACAGATTCCATTTTCCCCCTTCCTAGGTCCAAAGGTGCTGTGACTGGTATAAATTGCCTCCTCCACCCGCTAAAGACTCTTATGTAGTCCCCAGATAGTGGCCCTCGTGAAAGGAGAGCGGACAGGAGGCGCTGATGTAATCAAGGGATTAATCCATTGGTGAGTTCCAAGTAGAATGGCCCTGACCGAGGGACTAGGTCATGTGAGTGTCTCCCTGGCTCAGTTTTCTGGTGTCTGCACCCTAGCTGCCGGGGGGTGAGCAGCTTGTCCTCCATGTCTTTCTGCCTTAGCATGGCTCCAAAACAAGACTGGGGCGGTGACCACATCTGAAACGGAGAACATACCTGAAATAATTTGGAGAGATGAAGTTGCTTACCCTCAACCAACAGAAACCTGTCACATGATCTATTCAGGTTTAAATTATTTTATAATTGTTAAAAGAAATGTATTTATTTATTTGGTTTTATTTTAAGACAGGGCCTGTAGCCACTGAAAAGGGGTTTTTGTTGTTGTTCTCTTTTACTGCGACTGTGTCTGACTTCTCCCGACCATGCTTCTATCATGCAGTAAGTGGATAGAAGACAATCTATGAAGAGCAAAGGTTAGACACAGCAGCTACCCAGTGAAGCCTGGGATGGCTTAAAGAACAGCAGTGCACACGTGTGTGACCCGGGCTTACTTTTACTTATGTCTGTTTGTCCTGGCTCTATTCCCTAAGTCCTTAGAAACCCAGCCCAAATTTCACCAGCATTTGTAGAATTCCTTGAAAGTTCCCATGTGCTGTGGCCTGAGTATTTGCACCCGTTTCCTTTATGTTGAAATCCTAATCCTAACCCCCAGTATGATGGTACTAAGAAAACCATTTCATCTTAGTTCTTTTCTGTTATAACAGAATACCTGAGATTGGGTAACTTATAAGGAGTAGTGCTTTACTTTGGTCCATGGTTCTAGAGGAGACCGCAGAGCTTAAGAGTAGGTAGCTGCATGGTGAGGTCCACACGTTGCTTTAACTCGTAGTAGAAAGACCAAAAGACTACCCAGTCTCTCAAAAGTTGCATGAGCACTTGCTGTTTTGAAAGGAGTTCTGTTCCAAGCACCTATGTCAGGCAGTTCACAACCACACATAATTCAAGTTCTAGGGGATCTGGCGCCCTCTTCTGGCCTCTGCGGGAATATACGTATGGACAAACAGTCACATAAAATTAAAATAAGTAAGAATAGTACTCAGTGGCTCTGAAAAAGGCATAAATGATCAGTGCTTATGTGTGGTTTAAGGTGGCTTGTGTCTAGCTTTTTGTTGTGGTCAGCATTTTTGGTAACCCTTCTAGAGTGACCTTCTCCTTTAATCTGGGTCTTCGGAAGTGTTCATTAAGGGAGAATTTGTGTATTCCTAGCTAATTTTAGTGTGCAGCTAACTTACAAAAGAGGCTTCAGTGGGCACCTTCTCAAAGGAATAGTTTTCATGAAAATCAGGACGCTCTGAAGTAGCAAGGAAACATCAAACAAACACATTCTCCAGTAACTGATGTTTACATGAGACCTTGTTGACCAGGCTAGCAGGATGGTAGGAATCGGACGCACCAAAGTGGCTTGAAGTTGACCAATTTAAAAACACAAGAACTGAAAGGGATCCTGGCTGGCTGGACACCAATCGGTCACTAAATACAGCCTCTTCCTGCTAGCTCCTGTTACCTCCCCACCCCGCTTCCTCCTGGCTCCCTGGTTCCCTCCTCTTGCCCCCCTCCCCTCTTTCTCTCTTTCCTGCTTGGTTGCTTCTCTGCAGTAAACATTTGTTTAAAAAATGAACAACAACAACAACAAACATCCTCTTTCAGTCTCCAGTACATTTCTCGGATATTTTTTTTCAGTACTTTTCCACCAGGATAAAATCTGACTAAATCGAGGCCTGGATCCTTCTCTCCCAGGTCAATCCTGTATCCCCAGCAATAGAATGTCAGCCCAGCTCGGATCATGTTGGGGTAATGCTAGGCACCTCGGTTGCTGCGGGCCAAACTGGGCAGGTCCGGGCAGCTCAGGGCTGTGCTGGTCTCCTAGCGACTCGGGACGCTGTGGGGGAACTTGCCACTCAAGACCCGGCAGTAGTCCTGCAGCGGGCAGTCATGGCGGAGCGTGGGCAGCGGCTCCAGCCCACGACTCTGGCTCCGAGACTGCGGAGGGAGCGCCGGAACTGCGGGTGGTAAATACAGTGCTCTTGGAGCTGCTTGCAGGGGACCTGGGTCCCCTGGGCTGGGGCGGAGGTAGACCTCGCTGCTAGGAGTTGTTTTACTCCGTGTCCCCTCACTATTGTAATAGAGCAAAAGGTCTAGTGCTGGAATGACACAGTCTTTTCAGTTTGTTTGGGTTTTGCCACAAACCCCCAGGGGGAGAGGCTGTCCTAGCCTAGGACTCTTGAGTGCCTGCCTTAGACACAGACACACCCTTCTTGGAGTTCATCAGATACTCTGGGACCCCTAGTTCCCTGTGTTCAGTTTATGGCATCTATGATATTGAGAGTCTTTAGCCCTCCAGTTGGAAGCCCTAATCAAGCAGAACCCTTAGCAGGAGCTAGCTTCCTGGTAAGGCAGGCTACTACTTTGAAAGGTTAGTAGGGCGGGAAAGAAAGAGGCTTTTATTTTTCTCTTGCTGAATCCTTGAGAGTGCGTTTTTTTTTTTAGCTGGTGAAGAGGTGCTTCTTCAGTGTGGTGACTAAGCCTAGAATCAGAAAGGCTCAGTATGTAGCCTAGGCTAGCCGTAAGCTGGTGGTCTCCTGCCTCAGCCTCCAGAGCCCAAGGATTAGATGTCTAGCAGTACACCCAGCTCCCTGCACTCTTGTTTTCTTACTGTGAATTGGCCTCGAATCAGTGAGTCAGCTCTGTAGGTTCTCGAGGGCCCTTGGGACTGGCAATACACAGAACTCAGTGTACTCTTTCTGCAATTATGAACGCTTTGGGAATCTTTGCAAAATCCTTCCGTCTGAAACTTATTTGCTTCAAAATAATTGTAGACTCAGGAGAAAGTGCAAATGTCCAAGATCCCATATAGCCTTCTGGAGCTGTTTCCAATGGCGCTGTCTTACACATTTGTAGCCCACCACCAAATCAGGACAGCAGCTTTGGGACAATATAGTGGTTAAATAAAATCTTTGCATTTCATCAGCTCGACTTCTGTAAAACGCTCATATGTACTTCAGGATTCCAATTGCTTTATGACCTTTCTCATAGCCGTAGAAGAATACTGTCAAGAAACAAGAACTGGTTCTGGCTCATAATTTTGGGAAGTATTGGTCCATGTTGGTGGGGAAGGTAGGCATCCCAAGCAGCTCCATCCACAGAGATGAGGGCTTGTGACATGGCTTGCTCATATCTTAGGAGATTGGCAGCACAAATGAATGAGAAGCAGAGCCAGACCATTATCCTGCAGGCTAGCAAGGCTTCACATTCTAAAAGTTCCGCAACTTCAAAACAACCAAGTGTTTAAACACAAGAACCTTTGGGGGATATTTTACACCAATCCACCACACAGGAACTGCTTTGTGAGACCTTCATTGTTAAGTCTTTCTTTCCTCAACAACCACAAATCTGTTCTCCCGTTCTGTAATTTTAAGCACTTTAAGAATATTAGCCAGGGCTAGAGACATGGCTCAGCAAATTAAGAGAGCTCAGTGCTTTTCGAGAGGAATGGGGTTGGGTTCCCAGAACCTGTGTCAGGAGCCCGCACATGCCTGTAACTTCAGGTCCAGGGAATGTGGTAAAAACATAAAAGAGACTAAAAATAAATAATGCAAGCAAGCTAGAATAGCATCTTTTGATATTTTGATATTTGCTCCTTTTCACCCATAAAGCTTGTGAGATCCATCCAAGATGTGCACGCCCATCACATGTTTGTTTCATTGCTAAGGAGTGTGTTCAAATAAAACCCAGTTTGTTTCTTTATTCACTTGAAGATATGCCAGGCTATTTTCAGTTTTTGACTATTACATAAAAAGTTGCCATAAACCTTTATGTACGTGTTTTTGCAAGAACATATATTTTCATTTCTCTAGGGTAAATCTCAATATATTATATATATTGTCTGTGGGGAACTGTAGACCTTTAGGAGAAATGCTTTTAGTTTTATGTTTTTAGTCAGGAAAGATTATTCACAGGCTTAAGGAAATGTGAAGGGTTGAGGATGGGGGTGTATGTAGTCCAGTTTGCAGAGTGCTTATCTGATACACAGCTTTGGGCTCAATCCCCAGCATGTTTATAATTGCAGTGTTCAGGAGGGGCGGAGGCAAGAGGCTCAGAAGTTGAAGGTAAAGTTGTCCTCTACAAGGCTGGTCTGAGAGTAACTTGGGCTATAGGAGGCTGAATCAATCTATAAACAGACAAACAAATAAATAAGACAATACAGGGTTAAACACTTTAACAATGAGAAGCTGAGTAGAGTAAAGGAAAGCCCGCCCTCTACATGCCTAACCCCTCAGAACCAGGAGTGAGCTAGGTAGACTGAATCTTTTCTGCCAGTTTCAGAATTCTGAGTCTCAAATTAGTAGACAGCTCCCATTTGAGATGTATGGCTGTATTTAAGCAAAAACATTTGTTACCTTCTCTGTTTTTAGGAAGGGCTTGGGTGTAAAATGGTTTTTAGTGAACTATTAACTATTAATATGACCTGGCTAGCTCCCTAGTTGAGTCAGAGTCCTAGGGATTTATTATTTAGCTCTGTGCAATTACTGGGGGTTACCCCTGATCTCATTCTCTAATGCTAGACTGGATACTTCCCTAACTGTGCTCCCCAAAATACTTGCTGTTTGGGTCTTGCTGGGCTATTTCTGCTCCAGCAGTCTGTCCTGGGAGGGAGGGGTACCTTTCACTCAGGTACATGCTGCTGGTTCGGCACATCTCATGGAGACCTTCTGCCTTCTCAGTCTTCCGTCTCTTCCCTCCTTTCTCCTCCTTCACCTCCTGGTGTCTACCTGCAACTCCCAGCCAGATAACTGCAAACCTACCTACCTATTCCCTCCAGTAATTGGCTGTAGCCACCTTTATTTAACCAATGGTTTTAAATTGGGGAGCAAGGATTGCACAACCAAAGCTGTTATATGTGGGAATTTACACATCTTGAGGCAACCAGATCTTGGGGTACAGAATACATAGCAGCATTTGAATACATAGCAGCACCATACCGACCCCCAACTCTTGAGTGTTTAAGTTACTGCTAATTGGTAGAGCTGGTTGGTTATCAATTCCAAGATGAGATGTGGCCTAGCATGCCTGTACCTTCAGCTGCTTGGAGAGTGGTTATTGAAGGTGGGGAGAAGCTTTCTGTAAACTCTTTTTTTTTTTTTTTTGGTCCTTTCATCTAGATTTTCATAACGCAGTGAAGTTAGGCTCCTTGCTCACACACACCCACTTACATACGGCAAAGAAGTTCTAGTGTTCACTGGAAACCACTGAGGACCAGGCTAGAATCTCTTTAAAATGTTTGATGATTACAGCAAAGATTGGATTTGGTATAAAGGGCCATTATGGATGACAGGGACTACAGGCAGAAAAGGCTTCAGAGGATAACACCAGCTCTCAAAACACCTAAGGCAAGCTGGCATGAGTTAGGTCATCAGACGCCTCAGGATCTGAGGCCTGGTTTGGCATTAGTTATGCCTGATTATCCTAGATCTGGTATCATCTTCCTTCCCATGTGCCATCTGTCCCATCCATCTTACCTCCATGGCCTGACTGCTCCCTGCAAGAGGGGGCCTGGCGGGGAAAGAAGCAGTGACAGAGGCCGTGTGCAAGTCAGAAAGGGGAGGGGAAATGAAGGGGGATCTATGGCTCACCTAAGGTAAACTGCGTTAGCCCAACCATCCCATTGTGGTTCCATGAAAACATTTGTCTAGTCATCTAGAACTTTGAAAGCTTTCTGATTGTTCCAGAGGAACGGAGATTTCAGATTACTCCAGGGGGAATTATAGAAATGTATCAGCTCCAGTGTGCAGCTAAGCACGGTTCACCAGCTCCAGTGTGCAG